AAAAAAAAAGAATTTTAATTCTATACTTGTATTTATACCTTATATTAAAAATTAACCTAAACTGGATTATAAACACAAGTATAATACTGTAAAACTTTTAGAAGGTAACATACGTGAAAACTTTGGGTTAGGGAAAGAGTTCTTAGATAAGACATCAAAGAAGAATATTTAAAAAAAAAACTATAAATTGAACTTCATTAAAATTAAAGCTTTTTCTTTTCACTGTTGAATGAAAAGAAAAGCACTAAGAGAAAATATTTCTAAATCACTTGTCAAGAGATTTATTTAATCCAGAACTCAAAACTCAACTATAAGAAAAGTACCTAATTTAAAAATGAGTAGGAGATTTTGAACAGGCACCAGAGAATATTTCGACATTTCAAAACTGCAAATTAAAACCACAATGGAATAGCTCTCTACCTCTATTAACGTAACTAATATTTTAAAACAGAGAATACCAGGTGCTGGGAGCTATGTAGAGCAATTGGGAATGTAGTAACACTCCTGGTAGGAATACAAAATGATAGAACCATTTTGGAAAACAGCTTGGTGATTTCCTATAAAGTTACTATGTGAGTCAGCAGTCTCCTAGCAGGGTAACCAGGAGAAAGAAAAACATGTTTACACACAAAAAACTTGAATGTAAATGTTTACAGTAGCTTTATCCATAATAAATAAAAGCTGGAAACAATCCAAATACTCTTCAGTTGTTAATAAGCTGTGGTACATCTGTGTAGTGAAATTTATTCAAGAGTAATAAGATACAAACTATTGGGGATGCAGTAGCATAGAAGAATCTCACATGCATTGTGCTAACTGAGAGAATCCTGACTCAGAATATACTATGATTTTATTTATATGAAATTATAACATTTGTGGAAAAGGTGTAACTACAGGACAGTAAAAGATTGGTTGCCAGGAATTAAAGTTGAAGATCTATTTGGACTGCTGAGGAGCTGGAAAGGATTTTCACAGGGGGAGGGTGATGAAACTGTTCTTGATTATGGTGTCTGTCACTTCACCCTGGGCATTTGTCAGAGAATTTTATATTACTTGAGATGTGATTGAATGTCTTGATGTGACCAAGTATCAATAAGGATTGAAGAATGGAGATGCTCTCAGCTTGCTTTGGGAGAATAAATTGCTGCAACCACTTTGGAAATCCATTGGGCATACCCTGGTAAAGATGAAAATGGTCATGTCTTATGACACAGCAACCACGCTTCTAGATGTGTACCCAGATGCTCATTGTGTGAGAGCGTAATCAGAATGCAAGAATGTTTACAGCAATATTTAATATTTTTAAAAGTGGAAGCAAGCTAAATGTCCAAAAGGAAAATGGATAAGTAGTGCCTTATTTCTACAACTGATACAAGATTTTGAAATACACAAATAAAAATATACACAAATACTATATATTTTTATAGATACATAAATTTAAAAGTCTAAAAATGTACATAGTAATTATAAAAATCATACTCAAAACAGGGAATGTAGGAAAGATAGTAGGAACATAGATGGCTTTAGTTGTACAGTTGACCCATGAACGACATAGAGGCTAGGGTCACTGACCACTTGCAGTTGAAATTCTGAGTATAACTTTATAGTCAGCCCTCGACATACGAGGTTCCACGTCCTCAGATTCAACCAGCTGCAGACCGTGTAGTACTGTGAAAGAGAAAGTGTTAGTCACTCAGTCATGTTCAGCTCTTTGCAACCCAATGGTCTGTAGCCTGCCAGGCTCCTCTCTCCATGGAATTCTCCACACAAGAATACTGGAGTGGGTTGCCATTCCCTTCTCCAGGGGATCTTCCCGAACCAGTTATCAAACACGGGTCTCCCACATTTCAGGCAGATTCTTTACCATCTGAGCCACCAAGGAAGCGTAGTGTAATACTATAGTATGTGATTATTGAATAAAATCCACGTAAATGGACCTGCATATTTGAAACCCATGTTCAAGGGCCAACTGTAACAGAAGTGAACTGTACAAGTCCACATATATAGGTTTTATTCAGTAAATAATATAGTGTTATACAACCTGCAGTTGGTTGTGTTTATAGACAAAACCACAAATACAGAGGTTACACTGTAGGACTTGAGCACCTGCAGATTTTGGTATCCAGAACAGGACCTTCCTAGAACCAATCACCCATTACTGCTGAGGGATGACTGTGCAGAGGTGAGGTGGGGTTGTGGGTTTTGTTTTAATATTTAATAATTATTTAAATATTTAAGTGAAATTAGTACTTTTGATATGGCTCTTTTATAAAATACCTCATGAAGAAATGATTTTATAGTCATAAGTTTTTTTAGGAATGTAACCTAGAATGTTAAGTATTGAAGAATATTACTTTTAATATATAAAAGTAAATTGATTTTTTAAAGTTAACATAAAAAACACTTGACATGGAAATTAGATCAATAATTTTTAATTGGGTTCAACTAAATGAGTAAACATGATTTCATTTGAAGAATTTAAAAGAGAAAATGTTAAAGACCACGATAACCCTTTAATACTCAAAATGGGGTAAACTAGTTTACGGGTGATGTTCAAGAAAAATTCACTTATGTATAGAAGTCGTTGGTGTTTGCATTTAAGTAGTATTTTAGTCTGTTTTATCAGTGGCCTTTCCATAAAAATAACAGCTTTCTGAGGATCTCATTGCATTTCTTTTGCAGTCTTTGGGGCCTCTAATAAATAGCCTCCTTTTCCCGGTTGGAGTTATGAACCAGTTGAGACGGTAGAGCTTCAGAATAGCCCCTTTATTATAATAAAGGCTAGGAAGCAGTTTATGGTGAGAAAATCAATCTAGACCTGCTACTTCCTTACCCACCAAGTCCACCTCCTACCTAAGCCTAGACTGAACCTCCCATCCGAGGAAAGTGCATCTGCAGAAGAGACCCACTTACCCGGGTCACTGTTATTCTCATTCACTGGTCCAGGGAAGGAGGAAAGGAAAAGTGACCAAATACCATCCCCGACCAGATGACTCTCTCCACTTCCCTGGGAGGGTATAGGAGGAGGTAAGAGGCTAAGAGGGTTTATGTTTAAATAAAGATCTCCTGCAGTCTGGGTGAGAGAAGAGTAGTTTGTGCCCCAATCCACCCATTTCAATTTGTTAGCCTCATAATGTTAGAAATCCTTTCTGAAGATTAGTTGAATTAAACTACTAATATCAATATTTAACTGTATTCACAATAGAAAAGAATGTTATTTTTGTCATATGACTTACCTTAAAACTTTGATTTTTAAAAGTTACATATTTAAAGCACATTTACGATGGCCTTACACAAGAATGGTGCTTCTTTGGATTATAAATACTTCCTGATGGTCTTCCTGATATTCAGCTCTATCAAAACTAGGTTTTACAGACCTGTTCACTTTTTCATTGATTGCTCTTTCTGAACAAGAATTATACTGGATAACACATTGACACTCTCATTGGAAGACCATACAATATAATGGAGAAGACAAATAATAACAAATATTAGTGAAACTCACCACCAGACGACCATGGGCAGAATGTTCTGGTTATATAAATGATGGAGAAAGGAATGAAAACAGATTGCTTATTTTAAGCAAACATATTACTTCTGTGTTAAAATACATTTATGAGGTTTTGTGAAGTTCTGAAATGGAAGTACATTACCAGTAATTTTGCTCATGAAAGTGGCTAACTGGTCATTTTATTTTATTTTTTTCTAATTGGTTATTTTAAATAAGCCAAAGTTACTGGTCAAAATTTAACTCTGAGATATATTTTTGAGTTTTTGTTCTTAGTTTTATGTCATCAAGGTATTTTAGGTGGGGGAAGTGTCTGATGTTTTTGTTTTTATGAAGCCCTTTAAATTACAGGGTGGGTGTGGCATCATACTGCTACCTCAGAAATAGCAATCATCAAGGTGAATACTCACTAGACATCTCCAGTGCCAATCAAAGAAATCTTTATTCTTCATTCACTAAAATTTTACTTTAATTGTAGAGTCACATATGAGCAACTATATCCAAAAATGAACCATGTATGTGAAGAGTGTGTATATGTGCATGTCTGCACATATACACATAAAAGGCATCCCAGGAAATGTGAAGAACATACATCTTAATAAGATTCAGACCAACTTAGGTTCACATCCTCGCTCTAAGTAACCTTGGGCAAGTTCCTTAGTCCAAATGAGCCTTAATTTCCTCCGAGCCCATGAAGAATAGTACCTGTTTCATTCTGTTCTTTTGGAGATTTTGCTCAAGATGTTTCTAAGCCTAAAGTCTAATGGAACTCCTCAAATAAGAATGGGTCGCACATTTTAAGAAAACTGAGTGCTGGGTAGCAGACTGCCTATGAAATTTGAGGAAAGGGGATACTAAGCAATAGAATACTAGTGCTTATTTTGAAACTCCAGTTTACATCTTTGTGACTGAAAAGTTAGAAATTGTTAACTTATGGAGTAAAATCATAAAACCACTTACATATGCAACAGTAGGGTAGTGAGTAAATAAATGACATCATAGGAATTATTACAATTATGAAGCGATAGGTAAGTTTTGATATGTTACAGCAAAAGCAGAGTGTGTGTTTCTTAAAATTAAGCTTAGGTTTTAAAAATGTGAAGAAAAACTGAAAAAAGTTAATCATAGTAATTGTTAAAGTGATAGGATTATGAATGTTTCTTTTATTTTCCCAGTTTGTCAGTACCACAAGACTGTTTTTATAACAAAGAAAATATGTATGATAGTCATGCCTCATGAAGCAAAAAATTTCTCTATAGACAAAACACAAGCTTTAGGTTCCTTAATGCTTGGTTCTGTTATTAAGACAACCAAAGAAACAGAATATTAATCTTAGTTCTTTTACCTTCTTAGGCATCAACCTTTTATCTATTGTTTTTTCTGTCAGCTGTAATAGTTCAGTCCGTGTTACATATTGATTGGATAATAGAACTAGAAAATTAAAATTAATATCTTTTTTAAAGCACTGTTTTTCTTTGTTTTAATGTTGCAGATTTATTTGAGGTTCCTAGATTATCAAATGGAGCACTCAAATGAATGCAAGAGAAACTTCGTTGCAGTCTACGATGGAAGCAGTTCTATTGAAAATCTGAAGGCCAAATTTTGCAGCACTGTGGCCAATGATGTAATGCTTAAGACAGGAGTTGGGGTGATACGCATGTGGGCAGATGAAGGTAGTCGGCTAAGCAGGTTCAGAATGCTCTTTACTTCCTTTGTGGAGCGTAAGTAAATAATTTCTATAGCAGTGAGGTCTTTTACATAATCATTTACTAAGAATACAATTATTGAGCATTTCCTTTTGACAAAGACTGCTAGTCACAGAATGTAGAAATAAGTAGGTCTTAGTGTGTATCTTAAAGAATTGACTGTCATGGGTGGAAAAAAACATGGTAATGCATAAATTGCAACACTACCAGTTATAAAGATGTATGGTAGGGAGTGTAAGAAGTGGAGACTTCTCTCAGAATTTTCACAATTAAAAATAATTATCAGTAGTATGAATTCATCTTGGTAAATAATTGTGACTCCACCAAACCATGCTCCCCGAAGGTTTAGATAGACTGTTTTCTTTTTTAAAACTTTTAAAGTAATTTTAAGCTTATAAAAAGTTGTAAAATAGTAGAGTTCTGTGCCCTTCGCTTAGATTCCCCTAATGTTACCATCTTACAATACCATAGTAAAGCTGAATGTTAACACTGATGCAGTATTATTAAACAGTATATAGACCTTACTCAGAAATCACTAGTTTTCTCATTAATGTCCTTTTCTGATCCAAAATCGCAAGTTGCTTTTGTCATGTCTCCTTTAATTTGCTCTGTTTGTGGCACTTTCTCAGTGTTTAATGACCTGGATGCCTTTGAAGAGCACTGGCTAGCTACTTAGTAGCATGTCCATCGGTTTAGGTTTCTCCGATGTCCTCTCTCTCCTGAGCTGAGGTTATGCGTGTCTGTCAAGAATACAACAGAAATCACATTCCACCTTTCTCAGTACATAATGTGGGTTTGCCTCATACTAACTTGAATCACTTTCTTAAGGTACTATCTGCCACATTTCTACACTATAAACTTAACAATTTTTCTTTTCAAATTAATAACTCCCTCAGAGTATGCAGATACCCTTTTGCTCACTAATATTAGCCTCCATTAATGGTTTCTGCCTGTAATAACTATTACTATAGTATTTACTTTAAGGTGGTTTTCTGTTTGCATCATTCTTTCTACATTTGTTAATTATAATTTTGTGAGGAAGAGCTATTCTTTCCTCCTTGTTTATTTATTCTATTTGTGTCACTATGAGCTCATGTATATTTATTTTACTCATATATATATATATATATATAATTCTATGATAATGCTATGATAGCATTTACTTTGGTGCTAAACATCCCAGCTTTGGCCATTGGGAGCTCCTTCAGGCTGCATCCTGTATTCTTTGGGTAGGCCTGTTTATTTTAATCGCCTCCTTTTCTGATACAGATAGTAAGAATGAACCAGGCTCAACTTATGTTTTCTCTTTTGAGCCTTATTATCAACCATGTTTCCAAAATGCCCTTTCCTTCTCTTCCAGTGAGAAATCTGACTCTGATTATCTACAGTATATTATCTGTTCAATCCTAGGATATCCATTGGGCTTCCCTGGCGGCTCAGACAATAAAGAACCGCATCAATCCTTCAGTACTCAGCCTACTTTATGGTCCAGCTCTCACATCTTTCCATGACTACTGGAAAGACCATGGCTTGTTGGCTTTGTCAGCAAAGTGATATCTTTGCTTTTTAATACGCTGTCTAGGTTTGTTATAACCTTCCTTCCAAGAAGCAAGCGTCTTTTAATTTCATGACTGCAGTCACCATCTACAGTGATTTTGGAGCCGAAAATCTGTCACTGCTTCCACTTTTTCCCTTCTGTTTGCCATGAAGTAATGAGACCGGATGCCATGATCTTAGTTTTTTAATGTTGAGTTTTCAGCCAGATTTTTCACTCTCCTCCTTCACCTTCATCAAGAGGCTCTTTAATTCCTCTTTGCTTTCTGCCATTTGGTACTGATCTGAAGTTGTTGGTATTTCTCCCAGCAGTCTTGATTCTAGCTTGCTACTCATCCAGCCTGGCATTCTGCATGATGTACTCTGCATATAAGTTAAATACACACGGTGACAGTATACAGACTTGACGTACTCCTTTCCCAGTTTGGAACCAGTCTCTTGTTCCATGTCCGGTTCTAACTGTTGCTTCCTGACCCTCATACAGGTTTATCAGGACACAGATTAGATGGTCTGGTATTCCTATCTCTTGAAGAATTTTCAATAATTTGTGATCCACACTGGCAAAGGCTTTTGCATAGTCAATGAAATAGAAGTAGATGCTTTTCTAGAATTCCCTTGCTTTCTCTATGATGCAGTGGATGTTGGCGATTTGATCTCTGGTTCCTCTGCCTTTTCTAAATCCAGCTTGTACATCTGGAGGTTCTCGATTCAAGTACTAGTGAAGCCTAGCATTAAGAATTTTGAGCATAACCTTACTAGCATGGGAAGTGAGTGCAATTGTCAGGTAGTTTGAACATTCTTTAGCCCTGCCCTTCTTTGGAATTGGAATGAAAACTGACCTTTTCCAGTCCTGTGGCCACTGTTGGATTTTGCCAAATACCCTTCTAGAATGGTTGTATGTATTTTTAAATTATGGTAAAATATACCCTAAGCCATTTTTCAGTGTACAGTTCAGTGGCATTAACACATTCACAACATCGTTCAACCATCACCACTATCCACTTGCAGAACTTATGTAACATCCCAAATTAAAACTCTATACCCATTAAATAATAACCTTCATTCCCTATTCCCTCAACTGCAGGTAACCTCTATCTTTCTGTCTCCATGAATTTCCCTATTCTAGATACCTCATATAAATGGAATATTTGTCCTTTTGTGTCTGATTTATTATACTTAGTATGTTTCTAAGAATTTCAGTCCTTTTTAAGGCTGAATAATTTTCCATTTTACATATACATTTTTGTTTATCGTTTCATCTATTGATGAACACTTGAATTGTTTCTGCTTTTGGCTATTATGAATAAAGCCACTATGGATACTGGCATAGAGTTATCTCTTTGAATCTCTGATTTCAGTTTTTGCTATACCTAGAAGTGGAATTGCTGGATCATATAAATGTTGTTTATTTAAAAAAATTTTTTTTTTGCTGGAGTATAGTCAGTTAACAATGCTGTAATAGTTTCAGGTGGACAGCAAAAGAATTCAGCCATACAGATCCATGTTTGCATTCTCCCCCAAGCTTCCCTCCCATCTAAGCTGCCACATGACCTGGAACAGAGCTCCTTGCACTGCACAACAGGTCCTTGTTGGTTAACCTCCTTAAACATGGCATTGTGTACATGTCGATTCCAAACTCCCTAACCTACATATGGATATTCTACATAGAATATTAAAGTTTAATATCAGCATATTACAATTTAAAATCTATTTAAATGTTTGAGGACCACCAGCTATTTTCACAGCAGCTATTCCATTTTACATTCCCTCCAGCAATGCAATAGTCCCCATCCTCACCAAAACCTTTTTTTTTTTAACAGTAGCCATCCTAATGGCTATATGAAGTTGATTTTTTTCATTTGTGATTCCAATTTGTATTTCCCTAATGATGAGTGATGTTGAGTATCATTTCATGCTTCTTAACCATTTGTATACCTTCTTCGGTGAATACTTCATTTTATTGCACTTCACAGACACTGCATTTTTTTTTTTACACATTGAAGTCTTGTGGCTACTCTGCCTTGAGCAAGTTGGTCAGCACCATTTCTTCAACATTTGCTCACTTAATGTTTCTGTGTTACATTTTAGCAATTCTCATAACATTACAAACTTTTTTGTTATTGTATATATTATGGTGATCTGTGATCAGTGATCTTTGATGTTATTATCACAAAAAGATTATGACTTCCTGAAAGCTCAGATGGCAGTTAGCATTTTTTAGCAGTGAAATATTTTTTAATTCAGGTATGTGCATTATTTTCTTAGGTGTAATACTATTATGTACTTAATACATTACAGCATAGTGTAAGCATACCTTTTATATGCAGTGAGAAACCAAAAACTTTGTATGACTCCATTTACTACAATACTTGCTTTATTGCAGTGGTCTGAAAGTGTGGTATGCTTGTATTTAGTCCTTTACTCATTTTTTAACTTGAAAGTGAAAGTGTTAGCCACTCAGTTCGTGTTTGGCTCTCTGCGAGCCCATGGACTGTAGCCCACCATGCTCTTCTGTTCGTGGAATTCTCCAGGCAAGAGTACTGGAATGGATAGCTATTCCCTTCTCCAGGAGATCTTCCCAACACAGGGATCAAACCCAAGTTTCCTGTATTGCAGGCAGTTTCTTAACCATTTGAGTCACCAGGTAGGTTCTTGGATTTCTGTTAAGTTGTAGAAGTTCTTTATATATTCTGGATATTAATCTCTCATCAGATATATGATTAGCAAGCATTTTTTCCCATTCTGTGCATTATCTTTTCACTGTCCTGATTGTGTACTTTGAGAAAACAAAAATTTGATGTTATCCAGTTGGTCTGTTTTTTCCTTTTTGTCTATGCTTTCGGTGTCATAGTCAAGAAATCATTGCCAAAGACAACATTATGAAGCTTTTCCTCTATTTTTAAAAATATTTGATAGCAAGTTTTTATTAATTTCTAGTATTATGTCTTATGTATACAGTGTTGTATTTTTATTTTTGTATACACTGCAGCACAGTCACCACCAAAAGTTTATTTTCCGTCTGTCAGTGTACAGTTGGCCTCTTTTACCCATTTGTCGTCCCCACACCCCATAACCACTCCTCTGTTTTCTGTAACTGTATGTTTGATTTGTCTGTTCTTTGTTTTTTAAATAATCCACATATGAGTGAAATCCTGTGGTGTTTGTCCTTTTCCATCTGATTTATGTCATTTAGCGTAATACCCTTTGGGTCTATCCATGTTGTTGCAAATGACAAGATTTCATCTTTTCTTACAATTGAGTACTAGTCCATTTTATATATACGTATATACCACATGTTTATCCATTCATCCATCAGTGGGGCTTTGGTTCTTTCAATATTTTGGCTATTGTAAATAATGCTGAGATGAACACAGGGACATAAATCTTTTTAAATTAGTCTTTTCTTATTCTTTGGATAAATACCCAGAAGTGGAATAGCTGGATCATGTAGAAGTTCTGGT